TCCATGCTTCCACAGCGTGGGGCAGAGGTTCAATCCCAAGTCAGGGAACTAAGATCCTGTATGCCAATGTCTCAGACAAAATGTAAAAGTAAAAAATAAATTTTAAAAAGTCCTATCATGATGAAAAATCCCCAAGAGGCATCACATTCCTGGGTTAACAACTCCTCCAGATAACCAAGCCATGATTATATCTGTTGATTCTTTTGCAGACTCCTTTAGAAAAACAATTCCCTCACAGGTGGTTGATTTTTTTTCTTTTAAAATTTATCTGAGAGACATTTAAGTCCTAGCTGGGGTGGGGGGAAAAAAAAAAAACCTGATAAAAGTTTGACACCCAGAGCGCAATAAATGTGAAGAGATTAAAAAGTCACAAAAGTCTTTAAAGAAATGAAAAACAGTCTCTCTGGCTCCTGAGACTCCCAGGAAGCTGATTACAGGGCCCTTCAAGAGTAACTTTATTATCCGGGTGAAGAGTTGCTGCACAGGAGAGAGTTTCCTCATGAAATCTCTTTAATAAAAAGTACAGAATTATACCATTCTTCCTGAAAGCTTTAAGGAGAATGTGTATGATTACATGCCATGCAGAAAAAAAAGGAAAAGAAATAAAATGAGGGACTCCCCTGGTGGTTAAGACTGTACTTCCACTGCAGGGGTTGAAGGTTCAATCCCTAGTCAGGCAACTAAGATCCCACATGCCGCATGGTATGGCCATAAAAATAAAAGGTTTAAAAAAAAAAAGAAAGAAAGAAAATGAGGGATCATTTCAGAGAAACAGTAATATGGAAATCCCTGAAAACCCCACCCAAAGGGCTAAAACACACTGGAGTCCATTAAGCTGCATAGAAAACATCAACATGTAACACACAGAGATGTCTTACCTCATCTACCTAACCTGGCTATTCTCAGTTCAGACCAGCGACTGTGCTGGGACTGGTTCCATCTGAAGCTTACACATGCTCTCTGGACATTCGTATGAACAGTTAACAGTCACTGTGTACTCAGTACTGGGCTCGGTGCTAAGCACATGACATGAAGCCCTGCACTCAGGTCTAAACCAGTGCCAAGTGGGTACTTGTGTTATACCGTGCTAAGTCCCTTCAGTGGTGTCCGACTCTTTGTGACCCTATGAACGGCAGCCCCCCAGGCTCCTCTGTCCATGGGGATTCCCCAGGCAAGAATACTGGAGTGGGCTGCCATGCCCTCCTCCAGGGGGTCTTCTGACCTAGGGATCAAACCCTCATCTCTCACATCTCCTGCTCCGGCAGGTGGGTTCTGTACCACTAGCGCCACCTGTACTTATGTTTCCATCTAATGAGGAGGCACTCGAGGCTCAGAAAGGTATGTCATTTCTCTGAAGTAACACAGTGATAAGATGGACAATCTGAACCCAGTCTATTCGGCTCCAAGGCCCCACTTGTAAGCACTGGACCATGTCTGCCTCTCAGGGTCAGATCTGACATCCCCAGAACCAGACTGGACTGACAGAAAACTCTAAAACCTGGCTGATGTCTGTCTCCAGCCTAGGAAGTTTTCTTATCAGAAAGCTTTTGATACCTCAACTCCAAAGTTGCATTTTTGAAAGGCAATTTACTGCCTTGGAGCAAGGAAGGTGCTGCATTTATAAGACCCAACTTTCCAAGCAGAAACAAAGCCTATTTCCTATGCTTAGAATAAGTATGCAACAGCCACTCTTAGATTCAAGGCTTAACTCCTGCTCTTAGAGAAACTAAAAGTAAAGATAACAAAGAGAGGGACTCCCCTGGTGGTCCAATGGCTGAGACTCTGCATTTCCACTGCAGGGGACATAGATTCGATCCATCAGGAAACTAAGATCTCATATGCCACACAGTATGGCATAAAATAAAAAAATTAAAATAATAACTAAAAAAAGATAATGAAGGGAAAGCTTGAGATACAATAACCCATTCTCTGTCCATGGAAATAAGCTGTTCCCTGGGTTCAATCCTGATACTAGCACATGAAACCTTGGGGACCTCCCCGGCAGCCCAGCGGTTAGGACTTCGCACTTTCACAGCTGTGCCTGGGTTCAATCCCTGGTCGGGGAAGTAAGATCCCACAATCTGAATGAACAAAATAAATTCAAAAAAAATAATACGTAAAACCTCATGATTACAGTCAGAATTTTTTAAGCAAAAGACTGGGAATCCTTATAGTACAGCTAATGTGATCGTGCCAAATATTTTAATACCTAAGATATTAAAGTACATGGAGTAAGCATTCTGTACACTACTGACCACTGAGCCCCAGTGGAGGGTGGGGCCCTGAAGGCATCCTAGGACCCTCCAGACTCCAGAAGTCAGGGAGTATTTTGCAGAAAGTGGTCACTTCTTAGGTCTAGCCCACTCCAGAGGATGGAGGCAAAGTGTCCAAATTCACTGCCACTGAACTCCCCAAGAAGCACTCTTGCTCTTCCTGAAGCAACTTCTCTGGGAAAATGTGAAGAATGACCTTGCTTTTCAGCACCTAATATTACACCGGAAGCAGCTTTTTCAGGAAGCAAGTGGCTATCTTTTCTTCTTCAATACAAGCCAAGGCTTCAAAGAGATAAAACAACTGAACTGGAATAGCTCTGCCACTCTCCTGACTTATAAATATAACATAGAGAAACCTTTTCAAAGCTGAGGAGTACAAAGTTCCTCTAGTGACAGCAACCTTTTTTCGAGCCCGTGAGAGAGACATCCTGAGGAGCAGAGAGCCATGGGGCCAAGGGCACAGCTGAGCAGGCCTCCTGCTTGCCCCTCAGCATCTTCTTCTGACGCAGCCGTGTGCCTGATGACCACTGGGACCCCGCAGGGCAGGGCAGTGAGGGGACACATTGATGTTCCCACCCGTCAGCTCAGCACCTGAGACCCCTGCTCTGTCGCTGCCACCAAGAAGCCACCACCACTGAGAAATCAACACATTACAGGAGGCTGAGATGCTAACCTTCATGGCCAGTGTCTTCCAAAGGACTAGCGAATGCAAATCACCTACAGTTTTCCATTCTCTGGCCTTCTATAGAGATCTATCAATGACACCAACCCTGATCTCTGTCCAAGGCACTAACCTGAAGGCATCTGAGATTGCAATCCCTGGTTTAAAGGAGAGAGTTGCAATAAGATGCCTGTTACAGGGAAATAACACTGAAAGCTATACAGTGTTTAAAGTACAGGGCAGTTAGGGGGAGGATGGGGAAAGAGATAGTCAGGGAGTCTGAGACTGGCCTGTATACTCTGCTATATTTAAAATGGGTAACCAAAAAGGACCTACTGTATAGCACAGCGAACTCTGTTCAACGCTACGTGGCAGCCTGGATGGGAGAGGAGTTTGGGGGAGAGTGGATACATGTAAATGTATGCTTGAGTTCCTTTGCTGTCCACTGAAACTATCACAACACTATTAATCGGCTATACTCCAATACAAAATAAAAACTTCAGGGCAGTAAAAGTGGAGGTGAGAAGTAACATTAGGAAGACAGCACAATAGCACAGGAGGAAGAAACAGAAGCCTGAACTAAGTCAGAAGAAAAAAAACGGAAAAAGATGAGTCAAGAAATGCTTAACTTACTTATCATGTAACTTTCACATGGAAAAAGAGAATGGAAAATGATTCAGAAATAATTTCCCATTAAAAAACCAAGTGACACATGAAAAGATGCTCAATATCACTAATTATTAGAGAAATGCAAACCAAAACTACAAAGAGGTATCACCTCACACTGATCAGAATGGTCATCATCAAAATGTCTCAGTTCAGTTCAGTCCCTCAGTCGTGTCAGACTCTTTGCGACCCCATGAATCACAGCATGCCAGGCCTCCCTGTCCATCACCAACTCCTGGAGTCTACCCAAACCCATGTCCATCGAGTTGGTGACGCCATCCAGCCATCTCATCCTCTGTTGTCCCCTTCTCCTCCTGCCCCCAGTCCTTCCCAGCATTAGGGTCTTTTCCAATGAGTCAACTCTTCAAAACGGCTACAAACAAACAATAAATGCTGGAGAAGGTGTAGAGAAAAGGGACCCCTCCTACACTGCTAGTGGGAATGTAAACTGACAGAGGCACTACAGAGAACAGTCTGGAGGGTCCTTAAAAAGCTAAAAATTGAGGTACCATATGATCCAGCAATCCCACTCCTGGGCTTATAACTGGAGAAAAACATGTTTCAAAAGGATACAATGTTCAGCACTGTGTATAATATCCAGGACATGGAAGCAACCAAAATGTCCATTGAAAGATGAATGGATAAAGATGTGATACATATATACAATGGAATACTACTCTGCCATGAAAGAGAATGAAATAATGTGATTCGTGGTGACATGGATAGACAATGAGAGAAGTCAAACAGAGAAAGACAAATATATCAATTTTATGCCGAATCTAAAAAAAAAAAAAAAAGATACAAATGAACCTATTTACAAAACAGAGTCACAGATGTAGGAAACTTCCCCAAGGGGGAAGGGGAGGAAAACTGGGAGATTGGGTTTGACATATACTCACTGCTATGTATAAGACAACTAATAAGGACCTACTGTATAGCACAGAGAACTCTATTTCCTACTCTAAAATGACTTATATGGGAACAGAATCTAAGAAAGGGTGGATGTATGTATCTGTATAACTGAACCACTTTGCTGTCCAGCAGAAACCAGCACATTATAAATCAGCTATGCTCCAATAAAAATTATTTAAAAAAAACAAAACACCAAGTGGCTATTTAGTCAACTGTGGAAAATCCACCCGAAATCAATCAGCATGGACAAATGATGAGATCCAGCAGCCACAAGTCCGTGTGATTCTTAACCTGGCTCTCGTGCCCGTTTTCCAGCTGAGAGAACAAATCTGACTGCAAGCTTTCTGAGCTAAGCCATAGACAAGTGCCCTTTACAAGCACCAGGTGGGGTGGACCATCAGAATGTCTCGCACCGCCACCAGCAGTTACTTGTTAAACTGATGAACCCGTCCACCCGCTCTGGGAGGAAGGCCCTCCGGAGAACTTACACAGGCCGTTGACGTCCAGCATGTTAGAGATGCCCCGGTCACTCATGTCCACTTCCGGCTGGTTCTTCTCCCGGCTCTCTTCCACCAACTTTTTCAGAGACTTGGACATGACCTGGACCAAACAACAGCAAAGCGCGTGGGCGACGGCCAGAAGGGTGCAGGGAGAGAAATGAGGGAGCCCCCGGCTGGCGCTCTCCAGTTTTCCCCAGGTCTTGGGAAGTGGGCAGCGGCGGGCAGGATCTGGGAACAAGGATGGGGGGCGGGGAGCGAGGGACAGAGAAATGGGGAGGGTCCAGCACCATTCCCGCCGCGGAGAAGCAAACACAACTGCAACCACACACACACACTCACTGCGGAGGGCTGCACCTAATAGGCACAAACTACAGACTTCTGCAGGGTTCACTCCGGCGGCCGGCGAGAGATGCGCTCGGTCGGTGCAAAACGAGCACCCAAACGAGGAACACGCCCTGTCCCGGCACTCCGCGCAGGCGCACATCGGACCGCTAGCAACTCCAGGCCCCGCCCGCGCCCGGCCCTTCCCTAATTAGGAGACCAGCTTACTAGACGTGGCTCAGGGCGAGGCTCCGCCCATAAAAGAATGCGTGCCCTGCGGCTAGCCAATCATGTATGCTGTTCGACCTGGAGACTCCGCCCCACCGTGGCTAGTGCCCCGCCCCCCAGGTTAGGCTTCCGATCCGAAAGAAGCCGACGCGTGCGCAGGCTCAATTTGTAGATGGAAGCCAGCGTTCTGTGGGCGGAATCAGGGAAGTCTGGGCAGGGGTTCAGGCTGGGTCAGAGGCAAGTGACAAGTCAATATTCTCGCAGTGTGCTATTTCTTTAACTTACTGGAAGTTGCTGCCCTGAATCCTTTCCCCACAGTTGTGCCTCCCGGTATATTTTGAGCTCCTGAAAGCAAGAATTGTCTGATGGTGTGTGTGTCCCTGGCGTCCAGGTCGCAGTCATGGAGCCTTGAGCCACAGGACACGGAATAGACACATGATAAATACGTGACCCCTCTGTTCTTATGCTATGTCATAGCTTAGTTTGCTTTCTGTCGAATGATGATTTCCTCGAACAATTTTCTTTGTGTTTGGGGTTTTTTTTTTTAAACTAGAATTTGGTTTTTTTCTTCTTGTAACCTTAAGCTTTTCATTACTCTCCACTGTTTGAAATCCAATGGATTCTTCCTGAAGACTTTAGGAACGTACTAATATACTGCTGTAACTTGGACTGATTCTTTGTCCTTCCAGCTGAGAGATTGTAACTTTTTAAAACTTGGTTCCTGGGTTTATACAGACATTTCTCCTAGGCACCTTGCTGAGTAGCTACTCTCAAGTAACCTTCTCTAAAAGGATGTATAAGAGGCACAAATGGTAAGTAGTTGCATGTTTTAAATGTCCTTTTTCTGCCCACGCTCCGCATGGAATTCTAGGTTCAAAATCAGTTTCTCTTAAATCTCAATGGCATAGTTCCAGTGACCTCTGCTTTCGACGTTGGTGCCCAGAAACGTCTCCTTAAATCTTTGCAGTAAACTATTTTTTCCCCTTGAGAAGCACTTGCGATCTTTTTATTATTCATCACCATAATCTCTCTGATGGAAGCTCTTTTTTTGTTTAATCTGTTCAGTGGTCATTGGGTCGTTTTCAGAGGATGATTCATTTCTCTCTTCCTCTCTGGAAATTGTTTTCAGTTATTCTTTTGAAATTTCCTACCATTTTCTATGATTTATCACTCTTGGAAATCTTTTCATATGGCAGCTTCCTAGGACAGTTTTCGGTAGCTGGGGTTTTTTCTCCCCTTTATACATTTAACATCCCCCCCCCCCCCCCCCCCCACACACACACTTTTTTTTTTTAAACTTAACATTCTGGAAGATTTTCTCTATTTTATCTTGCAAAGATATTAAATTTTTTAAAGCTATTAAATTTTTTAAAGTTGTTTTGACTATTAATGAAATATGCTTCTTAAGCCCTCCCTGTTTAATAATGCCCTGCTTTTATTTCATGAATGCACACTCTTCTCAAACGTCTCTGAGGATAGCAATTTTTAAACCTTTCTTCTGTTGACTAAATTGTTTCCTCATGTCCCACTTTTTGTTAGTTTTTCTAGTTCTTTCCCATTCCGGCTGCTGTAACTTTTCCTCTGTCTGCTGTCTCCTGGTTTTCCTTTTGTATTTAAGCATGAAACCTGAGCTGATTTTTCTAACTAGCTGTTGTGCTGTACTTCCTCCTCTATTGTTGATGTGTATTTGTTTCCCTCTTAGATCATCATTAATTTTCCTGGGCTATTTGTTAAATTTCTTCATAGGTTAGAAGATGGTCCTCACAAGGCTGCTTCCTCATGTTCGCATTCACGTCCAGTTTCCCAGAAATTCATTTTCACTCCCTTATAAACTTCTTCCATTCTTTTCACTTTTCACCAGTACAATTCTTAATGAAATATGTCCCTAAGTTCCAGATTTTTATAACATGGAAACAGGACCGGGTTCCTGGATATGCAAACTGTACACAGTGACAGAAAACTGTGGGGCTTAAACAGGCCCCACAGTTAGTTTCTTGTTCTGATGTCACCAGCTTGAGATGTTTAATACTTTTTGAACCAGGGGCCCTGCAAATTAGGTAGCTATACCTGCAAGGAAAAGTATTTATCAGAGCTGAAATCGCCCCTGCAGTGTCACTGCCAAGCGCACCATGCTTACACAAAGTCTGTGCTTCATTCTCCTTTGGGGGGAATGTCCTACCCCTGCCTGCGAGCCCCCAGAGTGGGTCAGTCCAGGACAATCAAGGGCGATGCCTGGTTCCCCGAGGTACTGAAGCTGAATCCGGCCTCTGTACCGCAACACCAAATTAATTCTTGGAGACAGAGTTTTGGGTGAAGTAGAAAAGCTTTACTGCTTTGCCAGGCAGAAGGGAGAAGAGCAGGCTAATGCCCTCAAAACTGTGTCCCACATGTGCACCCCTGGCTGATTCATGTCAGGGTATAGCAAAAACCATCACAATATTGTAAAGTAACTATCCTCCAATTCAAATAAATTAATTTTAAAAAAAATCAACTGTCCCAACCTAGAGGGTGTAGTGAGGAATAGGACTGGTTCAAAGAGGGTGTGACCTGCTCCCGGACATTCTCCTGATTGGCTGGTGGTGAGGTAAGTGGGAGTCAGCGGCATCGACCTCCTGGTTCCAAGCAGTCTGGGGCTCACCCGCCCATGGGCAGCTTACCACTAATTTCTCCCACCTGGTGGACCAGGGCTACGCTGTTGTTTCTTGACAGTTCCTTGACTGTCTCTTGACAGAGAGTCTCCACATCCCTCTCTTCCCTAATTAGCAGCTATTTGAACCTGCTCCTTCGAGCACAGGGAAGGTCACGGAGGCTGATTAAAGCCTATTTTCTGTAATCAAGAAACACCCAACACACAGAAAGGCCCAGAAGCCCCACAGGTTCCTGCTCGATATCAGCACTCCAGACTGCAAAAACAATGGGTGAAATTCAAGTAAGTTATTATATAAATCATTCATTTTGAAAATGCCTTTTGTAGGGGCTTCCTTGGTGGCTGAGTGGTAAAGAATCTGCCTGCCAATGCAGGAGTCATAGGTTCAATCCCTGGTCTGGGATGATCATACACGCCTCAGAGCAACTAAAGCCATACGCCACAGCTATTGAGCCGGTGCTGTGACAGAGTCTGCACTCCACAACGAGAGAAGTCGCCACAATGAGAATGCAACTAAAGAGCAGCCCCCACGCACCTCAGTTAGAGAAAAGCCCACACAGCAATGAAGAACCAGAACAGCCAAAAATAAATAAATAAAATGATTTTTTTCAATGACTTTTGTAGTCTCTAACCCAGGTTTATAATAAACTACTTACAACGAAACACATAAAGGTATGAAATTAAAATTTGAAAAGCCAATTTCTCATTAATATCCAAAAATTATCATACCATTTTTCTTCCAATAACTCCCGTTAAATTGTAGACATGGAGTGATTTGAAGTCTCAATAAGTAAAACATTTTCTTCCTTTAATACTATCTTTGACTCAGTATAATCTCTACATTTTTACTAAAATAACAGCAATTGCATCAAAAAATTTTCAGGCCATATTTTTTTAATAATGTCACTGGATCTGTGAAGATAGTCAGGCTGTCATACTTAATACGTTCACACTTAATCCTTCTGGCTGGATGGGAGGCACTTTCTTGGGTGGTTGCTGAGGTTAAAATCACCATTCCATCACTAGGTTTTGCAAACTTTTTCGTACCTCGTTTTCCTCAACTGTAAAATGGAGGTGATTGTTCTTAGATTTCCATGAGTGATGAGAGAAGGATGCCTGGCATAGAGCAAATGCTATTGATGTGAGTTCTCCTTTTTCTTAATAAAATTCATTATGTTACTACTCCCTTGAAGAGCATGTGGTGGATTTTTAACAAGTTCCTTTGACTAATAAAATAGAGTTGAAATTTAGGAGATGATGACAAGTAGAACGAGTAACCCAGCCATCATCCAGCCCCAAACTAACATTGGCACATCCATCCTTGGGGTTTCCTTCATAGGTGCCTGAAGTGCCAGGAGATCCCTGGCCTGTGGTGGCCTCTGGCTGACTTATCCCAGGCAGTTCCCTGAAGGTCAGATGAGGGTGACTCTGTCCAGTGATGGCTAACGTAACCTTGAAGACCAAAAGGCAGGTGCCCAGTTCTTCCCACTAAGGTCCAGCTCTTTAGGGAGACAGACAAGAGCAAGGGAAAAGATCACATGGTGGGTGGAAGTCTGGCTCCCCTGACTCCTGAGCTCCATTTACTTCCAAGACAGACTGCCCCTCATCCACTCTTCAAGCCCATTCATTTTATATTATGTTGTTGTCATCATTGTTGTTTTTGGATTCCATTTATGGCCTACAGAATGAGAGAAAATACTCTTATTTCCTGTTTTTAGTTTAAAAATTACATACTAAGATTGACTATGTTGTCTTTGCTTGGTAGATGCACTTTCTGAATATGCTTACCTGCCTCCTAGAAATAACTCTTTTAAAATGACTTGTAGACGCCATTACGCTAATGGTGCGATCACAGATCCAATCATCTCTTACTGTTTGACAGCTACATATGCTAATCTTGCTTTCAGATAAAACTACTATTTTATAGGTTATTGTTAACTTTCTCCAGATTCTGTACCTCTGTGATTCATTTTTAGATAAAAAAGCTAAATCTTGTATCTATTCCCATCAAACTTCGTCTCCAGAGTTTCAGCCCATTGTCCCAGCTTTGTCAAGAACTTGGGTTTGATGGTCTCTTCATCATGTTCACCATTCTTTCCAATAGAGAGTCATCCACAAAGTTGATTTATCCACCCATGATAGAGCTAAGGTGAGACTGTCTCATTTAGGTGGCTCTGTAGTCTGTGCAGGTATCATTCCCCTGGTGTTTGAATAGCAGAGGAAGATGAAGTGACACATTTGATAACATCTTTTTCATTTGGTCCCATGTTCTTCATAAGAGTTAACTTTGTATTTTTAA